CCTACTTGTGACATTCACAGACAAATGCCTTATATTTGTCAAGTTATTTGCTTAATGTTTGAGTGAATTTGTTTAAAAGCTAAATATGATTTCGGTTTGCATTTTGAATTTGAATAACTTTTATGAAAATTAAGTTTTAAATAATTAATGAGTTTTTATAAGCTAAAATGTATTAATTATTAAATGAGTATAGAAACCTACAAAATCTAGAAACCTTTCAAGTTTCAGTTATATTAAAATTTATATATAAATTAATATTTAGTATTTTGTTTCACAAGAAATAAAATTATAAATTTCATGAGAATTTGTTAATCACATTTGTCAGCTAGTACAGTACTGTTATTATTATGCATGCAACTAGATTTTAGTCAACATGAATTTTAGATAAGTTTTAAAATTATATTTATGAACATATTTTGAATCTTATTTTTTCGGTCTCTACATTAGATTTTATTTCATTAATGTTAATAAACAATATGTCGGTAAATATGATCAAAATATATTTTTAAAATACTTAGTTTTGTCTAAAAGTGCTCTAAATTTAGTATTTTAAAAGTTAATTTAAAATAAAAAAACTTTTTTATTATAAAAGCCATTACTTTAGTGCCGATTATTTAAGGGTTTCTAATATTTTGAGCGCACTTTTACTGATCTCATGGTAAAAGTTATTCACTGGAAATCCATTAGTCTTTATTAAGTGTGCATTTTAGACACCAATGAATTGGTAGTAATTTAGAGCCAACACTTCATATACACTAAACTTGGCTAAAAATATACTCAATCTAAAAGTGATAAAATATAAAATACCCGCCGATGTTTAATAATGTAATTTACCCATGTATTTTATGGTGCATGTAATTTTGTAATCTATGAGTTAAATTATTATTACTGATTAAAATACTAGTGTACCGTAGTGTCAAAATATTATTTTCATAATTACGCACCCTGAACATATTACAGAATTAAAGTATTAAAGAATATTTTAAGTTGTGTATAAGTTATTGTTAACTATCATGACTAATTTCTATGATCAATAATCAAAACACCAAAAACAATGTGTAAATTACACACAATGTTATATTGTATAAAATATTGATTAAAATTCAATTCACTAAACAACTTATACATCTTGAAATAGGATTTAATATTGAAAACATATATGAATGCCAATATTATATTTCCAAGTCAATTATTAATATCATATTATATAAATATTCCGCTTCATTATTATTAGTCCTGTACTAACTGTAGGTGTATTTACTTTAAAACACAAGTTTAACGTAGGCGCCCGTTATTTACAGTAACTTATTGTAAATAAACATAACATTTAATTTGTTAATTTATTTTTATTTATTATCTACAATTTACATATTGAGGCAAATAGATTACAATTTGATAAGAGTAGTAAGTAATTAATGGCATTAACTATTCATTGTTTTATAATTATTATTAATTGTTATATGTGAGATAATTTGTAGTATAACTAGTGTATCAATGTCATTTATTAACAACATAAACTGTAAATTCGATTATTATTAAAGTTACTGTCACTTTATGATTGATTATAAAAAGTGACTCTAACTTAGATTGTAATACAAAACTGTGTTCAATAGCTACACACAGAATATCTATTCAGTTAATCCCTCAATAAGTCTACAAATAGTCTTAGAATCGCAAGAATTTTGCATTTTATACGATATATGACTCAATCGTCTTCTGGCGCTCACATCGCCTAACATCGCGGCGATTGACCCAAATGTGGTTGATATCTGACACCCGTATGGCTCCAGAATAACGCCAAACCCCATCTCCCTGACCCTCTGGGCGTTATCTAATTGGTGGCCAAACAATGGCATCACAATCATTGGTTTGCCGTAAAACATGACCTCGGTGACGGTCTTAGTGTCGCCGCATGTGATGACCAGATCCGCCGCTTTAATGGCCTCCGATTGCGGCAAATCCTCTAAACCCCAGAAATTGTCGGGCAATTCGTATTTGCTATGAAATGGACCCAAAGATGCGATGAACTTATTGTCCGATTGAGACAATATTGTCGTCAATCTCTTCATTAGGTCCACGTCTGCGCTGCCGTAAGAGTCCATTGATAAGTATATAAGTTTTCCCGGTCTGGCCAATAGTGGGCCCGGTATGTCGAGGCTTGACGTATCCGTGTTTGATTTGATTAGGCTATTAAAGCGATACCATTTGTCTGGTGGAAAGCTTTTGCCTAAAGTATAGTCCAGTGCCTGCGGATAGATGTATATATTGAGGTGCGGGGAGTGCGGGTGCAGTTGATTAGGGGGTAGTGGTGGCGCACCCCTTAATAGACACCAATCGTTGAGGTCTTTGTGTAGTTTTTGAAATATATCACTTTTTTGTTTACCAAATTCAAGCCATTTATCTCTTTTTGATTTTAGAGGCAAACCTTTAGATTAAATATAAAATTATTTTTAAAGTCTAATATTTTTGATAATAAGTTATGAATGGTTTACATACCAGACCAGGCGGGAGGTATGCATTTATAGTCAAAGTATAGATTGGGTGCACCGAAGTTGATCCAAACCCATGGTATACCACAGTTGGTGATTATTGGCGAGCATAGCATGGACTCCACTACTATGACATCGGGTTTAATGCGCTCAATAAGTATTTCAAAATACAGTTCCCTTTCCTTGATTTCCGTCAATCTATTCCACAAATATTTTACATTGAATTTCTTGAGCACTTCTATGGGTGACAGTCGGAAGACATCGAAGTTTATATCCGGATTTAGTGCACAATAGTCTCGGGGACCGGCATTTGGGCTATCGGTCAAGTCTTTATAAGTAATGAGCCCTTTGGACGCCATATTCACAGCAAATACAGTCCGGTGTCCGCGCTCTTGGAGCTCATCGGCCAGCACTTTAAGGGACGGCATGTTTTCAAAACCATTATTTGGCACAAACAATATCGTGAGACCCTTGTGGTCAGTCCTAGTATTTTCCATAATATTACTACAGTATTAATTGTTTTAAAAGTTACACAAAGTATTATATCAGATTTTTAAACATATATTTTGCGATCACTTCTGTACTTTGGCTCAAGTAATCGATATTTGAAAATTTTTAATACAAATATCCGTAGCTTTTATTGAGTAGTATTTATATTAGCAAAACAAACACTTAAAAACTTGTTCAACACTTCCCCAATGATCTAAAACGTGATTATATAACACTTACGATAATTGATACTTAGCGTTCATTAATACTTTATGGCTTACGATACAGTAGAAATCCTAATCTAATCTTAATTTTTCATCATAGCTAACACATACAGTAGTAATAATCTTATAAAAGCCACTGTAATGTTGAATCAAGTTGTAATCAGTGGCAATGTTATAAGGTTATGTGTACAATACTATTAAATTGAAGTATTAATTTGTTCTCGATCATTAAATATTTCCGAGATTTAAGTTGAAATAAATTAAAGATCTATGTATTACGTTTGAACATATAAAAATTGGTTTTTGTTAAATTATTAATTAATTTTAATGTAAATTTTACAATTAGTATTTGAATATCAATTCACATTTATACTGGAGTTTATGTCCTTTAAATTACTGTTGAACAAAGATTATTTTAAACAATGAAATGATATTATTTTGTATTAGGTTTTTATACCGGAATTTAAACTTTATAAATAATTGTTAAAAACATGATATTAACACAATTTTATTAGATATAAAATATATCTTTAAAACTATGCTATAGTGTTACAGACTGAGGCAATTGAATTTATAAAATATAAAATTATATTTTCTGTATTTTATTATTATTTTATTTTATGCTTGTAGGTTTTTACATTAATACAGTATTATATATCTATTTTTTATATTTTAATAAATTGAGAAATTATTCATAAAATATTTTCATTGTATTAGTACATGAAGACTTAAGATTAGTTTAATATAATATAATCATTTAGAAACTAAAAATATCACATGGTACACTATAAGTCATATTAAGTAATGTAGTTTATTTCTCATGTAATCTTTAATCAATAGTTCTTAATACTGTACTTATTTTTGATATTTTAATTAATTATTTGCCATTAACACTACTTATATCAGTTTGTACTCTAAATATTAAGTATAAATATTTAAAATTTCAATTCTAATACAACATAAATCATACACTAATTAAGTAATAATAAAAGCAATAATGTACATGAAAAATTTCTTAAAATTAATAATTAACCTAATTATTGATTTATTAACATTAAATGTTTTATTAAAAAATACAAATAAAAATAGTTTTTACATGACATGTAGTTTTCTCATACAAAAGACTGGTCCTTGAAGTCAGGAATAAATTACATTTTGAGTTTCATGTGTAGACTTAAATTTTGCCTTAAAAAGGTTATTTAATTACAACTTAATGTCCTAAAATTAACTGCACTCACACATGCCATACAGCCATTCGCCGAGCACTTAATGAAATTGAAATAAAATATATTACAAAAATTTAATTAGTTTTATAGGAGTAGACACTATAGCACACTCTACTAGTCTATGTGCGGTAATCCGATATAAATTAAAGGAGTATATTCGCCGAGCACTTAATGAAATTGAAATAAAATATATTACAAAAATTTAATTAGTTTTATAGGAGTAGACACTATAGCACACTCTACTAGTCTATGTGCGGTAATCCGATATAAATTAAAGGAGTAATTGATAGCTACTATTATTCTGTTATTTGTCTTAAGTATAATTTTTATATAAATATCATTTTGTAATTCAACCGCTAATCAAACATTTGATAACTTTTGTGTGTTAAAATTAATGTTCATGTATCATTAGTCACTAGTGATTAGTTTCAAACACTTATAAAAACTCATCATAAAACACAAATCTCTTGGATTATATCGGCATAAAGTATATCAAAATTCTAATACTTTAACAAATAATTAAAAATAAAATTACACAAATATATTACACATAAACTCTTAACCATTAATTTCTAGGCCTCGGTGCCGCCTACTAGAGGGGCACATATAGGTTGAGGGTCCTCCCAGACTCGTACTAATGGCGGCTCCACCACCTTTTCCTCCTCATCGACGGTTTTATTCAATATCTTTGCGATTCTGTCAGTGATTTGTTTACACGATTCGGCCGTTTGCATGACATTTGACGCGAGGTTCAGACGCCGGGGCAGTAGAGGGTCGTCCACTGTGTTGTTAATCATACCAAACAGTGTCTCCTTATTACAGGTGAACGGATCCAAACCCCAGCCAAAGCCGAGTTCCTTAAATCGGTTCCTATTGTCCAACTGTTCGCCAAAGAGGGGCAAAATGATGAGCGGTTTTCCGTAGAAAAAACATTTCGATACCATTTTGGTATCACCGCTGCATATAATCAGATCCATGTTCAGTAGCACATCCTCCAGGGGTACGTCCTCTGCGCCCCACATATTGTCGGGTAAGTCGTACTGATCATGGAGTGGCCCTTTGGACACGACATACTTGTGCGGAGTCTCCGATAGCTGTTTGGTCAGCCGTTTCATGACGTCGACGCTGGCGTACGGACCCATCGATATGTAGATCAGTTTTCCAGGTCTTGAGCCAAAGTTAGGCGGAATTTTAAACTTATTAAGCGGTTTCGCTTCGATGAGACAATTGATTTGCATCCAGGTCTTCATCTCCCATGTGTTGCTCAGTGTTTGGTAATCGAGTTCTGTTGGGTAGACATAAAGGTTGAGATAAGGCGAGTGCGGATGAAACTGGTTGTCCGGTAGCTCCGGGGCGCCCATAGATGTGCACCAGTGGTTCATTTGCCACTTCAGGTTAGCGAACAACTCATTCCTCTTAGTCTTGAAGATCCTCCAGTCGTTTGGTTTGGTTTTAGATAAGCCTTAAAATAGAAATATTTATAATTAATTGAAAAACTTAAGTATAACCTCATGCAACATACCTGACCACCCGGGAGGTATACGATCGTCATTACGGCACTGGTTGGGTGGGCCGAAGTTGAGCCAAACCCAGGGTATATCAGAGCTGGTGAGCGCCGGCGAGCATATCATCGACTCAATGATGATTAGGTCGGGTTTGAGGCGTTCAATGAGTTCCTGATTATAAGGTTCGCAATGTTTGACAAAATCAAAGACATCGACGATATTCTTGTAGCAAAAGTTCTTCAACTTATCAATGGGTTCGCCGTCCAAGAGGTTTAGGTTCGCGAGTTTGGGATTTATGGTCGGGTAGTCAGCGTTGTAGACCTCCTCGGGTAGGCCTGAAGATGCTGTCAATTGTTGGGATGTCCTGTCGATCGCCAGTACCACTCGATATCCCTTTTCGCGCATATGTTGAGCCAATAGTAGACACGAAGAGATATTTTCCGATCCATTCATTAACGAGAATAAAATGACAGGACTTTCGGTATTCATTGTATGTTAAGTTAATTTAATTTGTATTAAAAGTTATAAATATTTTTTTTAATAACTCTCTAAGTGACCAATATACTTTGTTGCTAGCGCTCTCTGTTTACTCAAAACTATATTTTTACTTGAGTTAAATATAAATATTCCGCAAGGAGTATGAACATAACTACTTATATGTCTATATATATTATATATTATGTAATTTAATATTAAAAGGAAATAAAGACTTTAAAAAACTAAAACAAAACTTTTAGAATGAAAACAAGAAATCTAGCAAAAAATAAAAGTGAAACTAAATTTCAATTTTAGCAAAAAAGTATTTTTCTCGTTAACCAAATGAAATAAATTCTCAAAGTTTTGCTAACTTTTATATAATGTATAAAATATTTTGTATATTTTTGATTGATGTCTGTGTTAAAATATGTACAGTATATTTATTAATTGTGACTTTGATATGAAATGTATTATTTACAAATGATATTTGAAATCATCACAAACTTATTACAACAGCTTAAACAAACAGTTAAAATATGTTTTTATGTTACGGTTAACATGAGTTATATTGTGAATCAAATGTAATCTGAATAAATTTTGGTCAACATTTTTGCTTAACATTTAGTTTTAGTTTTCTTTTACGCAATTAATCTTAACTTTTTTGATGTCTATTCGCTAAAAATATCAAAATATGTAAAACGAGTGTAAATTACTAAAACAGGCTTTAAATTGAAAAAACAGAGCTAAAATGAAAATAGGAATTACAACGTTTATAAAAATTTATGACATTATATTTTGTATTCATTTGATGTAATTATTAAATTATAATCTTTTAACTAATTCTCGTAAGTATTTATAATTATATTCAATCTTTTTGATTTTATTTTTATCATTTATCAAAATGTTATTAAAATTCTTGAGTTAAAAACATTTGATGTCTTATCTGATTGTCAGACAATGTGTTAATAATTACTGTAAAGCGTATAATGTTTTGATATAAATTTGTTATTATAACACAATAATTATATTATTATTATGTAAATTAATTGCTTATTCGTAACATATTAAAAGGAAACTTTTATTGATAAAAACAAATAAGATTTTCAAAATACCTATACATACAACTATATATATAAAATGCATTAGTTTAAATAAAATTACTATTCAAATACTGTAGGCATAAGAATGTTCATAAAAAATATGATAGATTGAAATTTAATTAATTTTTTAGTACAGGTAAAATTGACATAAATTTTTTACCCTACATAGAGTATCATTAATTAAAAGTATATCTGGCTGATTTAATTGTTATAAATATTTGCATATAGTGTAGATATTGAAATATTAAAATAAAACTTTTTATTTTAAAGTTGAACTTTTAAATAACTAAACTGATTATATAATCACGAATATTTTAATATTTTCGTATAAAGTTATAAATTTTAATTAGTTTAGTTTATTGTAATGACAGAATTTAATTTATATTAAATTAATATCTTGTAGAAATATTGCATTTGTATAGAAATCGTGACTTGTATTTCAATATTAATGAGATTGTATTGAATATCATAGTCTGATCTAGGATCAAATTAGTCAAATGTAATCGCGATTACAAATGACAATATCACTCGCAAATCACGATACAGTATAATAGCATAGGTTTTATGCAAACAATTCAATGAGTCGTTGAAAAATGCGGACTTCACGCAAAAGTGTGTGATTTATTTTGTCATATTTTACTTAATTTACTTGCTTAATTTATTTGTCCACACTTTTTAATGTCAAACAATTTTTATTATTCGTATCTGAACTTTAAACGTGTTTTTATACGTGGATTATATTGATTTAAGACTAGATAAGGGGTGATAAGAAATTTAAAAAAAAGTTTTCATCTACGCTCATTAGCTTACAAAAATAAAATAACTTAAGCCTCATAAATTATCATTAATAAGAAAATTACACAATAAAATAAAAATATTAGCTTATTAATAAAAATATGTGTTTTTAAAAATACTATACACGAAATACTGGATATTTAGTAGTTAATTAAAATTAGAAATAGCCAAGGACGTTATTCAATAAAACTTGTGATATTCTGTAGACTATGATTCATAGGATAACGATTTCATAAGCTAAAAATACTATACACGAAATACTGGATATTTAGTAGTTAATTAAAATTAGAAATAGCCAAGGACGTTATTCAATAAAACTTGTGATATTCTGTAGACTATGATTCATAGGATAACGATTTCATAAGCTAGGTACTACACGTAATTACTGGTCAATTTATTTATTTAATAAATATTATGTTTAACACAAATTAAATAGCATTTTATAAATGTTAGATAATTTTAATCTTATCTGTAATTATATTTAAAAGAGGATTACTTTTAGTAATTACAGTGAATGTGATTAAAATGCTATCAAAACTCAAACACAAGGGTTGCCGTCATTTCAATGCTAATTGAATGCAAACGCAGTGTAAATCGTATGACAGATATAGCCATATATGGGCCCAAAGTTTGCATTAGGATTACGTGCAGTACTTTATGTACGAAACAAATCATATGATTTTCGCTATTGTTTTGATTTTTGTGTTTGAAAATAGTTTTTAACTTTTATGATATCTGATTATAAGTTTTTTACAAAATACACTAGTTGATATTTGTTTTAACATTTAATTAATATTGTTATCTCACCCTACGAGTGGACAGGTATGTGTTAAATAAATAGTTTGATTTAAATAAGTATTAGTTTAGTAAACTTTTCCCAATTAAAATAATAATAACAAAAAAGTTTTTTGTTTTATATTTCATTTTTAATTTTAGTTTTACTTTTAGTTTTTAATTTTGATATCCATTTCGCAATAATTACTTTTTTCAAAAACTTTTTTGTTATTTTGATTTTTCGTATTTTAAAACTTTATTTTTCATTAACGAGTGTATGATTTATAAAATATGTTTTGCTTGCTAATTAATTACGAGTGGATTAGTGTCGAGACAACTACTAAGCAATTATTTTCAACACCATAGTATGGTCCATAAATTTACTAACACCCGGTGCTCATTACAGTATCAGGTGGTTATCTCTCTCGAAACCCTCCCATACAAACCCCCACTTTATTTAACCCCCGTTACTATAATTAATAAATATTGTATAACTTCGTAAAGTATACTGGTTATTAAATATTTAGTTATTACATATTAAATATTGGTGTTACCCAGGTCTATGACTTTATGTGTATGAATATTGCCTTAGAGTACTGCATAGCACTGAATTGGCATTTCGTAATTCAGATCATTGTTAGGGAAAAACTATTTGATTGACTAATTGCTATACATATTAAATTGAAAAGTTTTTCATATGTTAATGCATTTCATATGTTTATGGGTTTATAGCACTGAATTGGCATTTCGTAATTCAGATCATTGTTAGGGAAAAACTATTTGATTGACTAATTGCTATACATTTTAAATTGAAAAGTTTTTCATATGTTAATGCATTTCATATGTTTATGGGTTAAAAGGTGTCACACATTACGATATGATAGCCATTCCTATATTGTACTATATTTCCAACGCATAACACGATAGGGCTATCAAAGTGTCGTAAATATTGTTGTTTTTTAAATTAAAAACTTATTTTTATGTCTTGTTTTTGTTGTTGTGTTCACTCTTTTTGTGGGAAAATGTGTATCAATTCATGTGACAAGAGATCTGCTGAAGTGATTGAGGCGGTGGTGAAGGACTGGAGGAATGGGAGGACTGTTTAGCGCACCGGACGATAGGGACAGGAAGACCGCGGAGTTTGACGCCTTCGAGGGGTCGTTCATTTTGATCGAGAAGTACGTGCAGAACAACACCCGGGGTCTGACCGACCGGTTCCGACGCGAGTACCGCTTGGCCTCCAGTCGGCCCAACGTTTACCTCAATTGGCATAACGTGTTGGTGCAGCACATGAACCCGCACAGGGAGGGCATGGGTTACGTGGAGGCCATCAGGAAAACGGGAAAGTTGTTGAAAACAGCCAAAGACCAGAGTAGGGGCGCCGACAGACAGGCATTCAATGAGGTGCAGAGATCTGTGGACAGACTCATTGATCTGAGGGGTAAGGAATTGGACCCAAAGTTGGCGTTTCTCGGGTTTGTTATATGGGGTGGCGATCAGTATAATAACCATAAGGCTGTTGTCGACGCCTGGAAACAGTTTTCACAATAGTTTTGCACTTTTTGTCGGTTTTTAAAATTGTATTTTTCATTATCAATGCTAAACATTCCTGTTGTGAATATCAGTGCACTTTTTGATTCATTTAATGATCTCATTATGTTTTATATATTTGTTTTAAAATACTAAAATTCAATTTGTTTTATAAGTGCATTCAATTTGTGTGATAACTAGTAATACTAGACTTTGTATTTGATTATCAAATTTTTAATCATGTTTGAGATAAACAATTTGAATAAAAGTGAAAGCTAATTGCTGTTTATAATTTTGATAATGATGATATCTTAAATTAATTAGTAATTACAGTAATTTAATTATTCTAATTCAACGTGATTTTGTAAACAATTCATTAAGTTTAGTAATTGTTGTCTCTTATTACAATCATTTAGAAAATTATTAAATATTGTATATGAAATTTAAACATACAGCAACTTGTATTTGAACAGTATCCGGGCTCATTTCTAAATTCTAGACTAAATGAAGTTATAGCTAGTTACAATGTAACAAAGTTATAGCTGTTAGTAACAGCCTGTTACATTAATAGAGTAATTAATTATTGTCAATATTGTTAGTGTTTTAAAATGCATATTATGTAAACCCTTTGCATTAATTGCAAACATATCCATAACATTTAAATATAAGTGAATTTTAAAAATAATTAACGCCAGATGTATGTTTGGCATCACTAACCACATCCCCTCCCGTCTAGACGTCAGAGGGTTTCACTTTATTTTTGTCTCTCAATGTGTT